TGATAGATAAACCCTAAAAAGAAAATTGAGATGCATTCAACTTATGTGGCACTTAATGATTTGCTTACTCTACTTTTTGTGATTTATAATTTGATAAATAAATACACTAAACATTTACTATCAGATACTTAAAGAAATATCAAACCCATGGGCATGCTCTCATGTGTTTAGTCTGCTATCTTGCCTGGCTATATATGTAATTAATGTTTAGTCAAAATCTCAACACATATTTTGGATGAGTATGCTCATTTTTTCTTAGTTCGTGTGCTTCTTTATATTTATACAGTCATATGTTTATCTTAACAGTATAGGAAGAGAGGTTTGTGAATAATACTTTAAAGTTGTAAAGCACTTTCTTAAGTTAAATGAAGTGCAGAATGCTATAGGTTTACTTGTAAGAATTTTTGACAAACTCCATCCATTTACATGACAAACATATGATCATCCCTCAGTTCTTAGAAGATCAAACCCACACACCTGAAGTTTGAAGAACCATTATAAGAAAATACAACTCTGTAAATAACCAGAGAACATTACTAGCCATTTGCTTTTCAGCAGGTGTAAGCAACACTGGGTATCTCACCTGTTCAATAAAACATATAGCAGTTCATTCTTTCATCATAATCAGCAGACTTTGATACTCTATTCAAACGATAGTTTTTTCTCTATATATAAGAAAATGAGATAATGAATGGTAGACGTGTATGCGTACTAACTTGCCATCAGTATTCCTCATAACAACACCATCAACAACACAGACGACTTTCTTGCTTCAGCATGTGCATACTTAGAACCCACTGTGTATACCTTGTATTTTGCCAGCATGCAGATTTGTCAGTTGAGAATCCGCGAAAGCCAAGATTTACAAAAAAATATTCTCAAGACAAAAACAACAGGAGCTTTAAAATCTTTGTTTTGTGCAACAGGAGATATATAATCTGGTTGTAAGTTATATAAAAAAATAGGCTATCAGAAAACATGACACTTGATACCATTAAGTTCTCATAAACATTAAGTGGTCCAAAAATGGAATGCAGATGGCAAAATATCACAAACCTTGACATCAGTTCCTCCGGTGGGCATGAACTCTTCATATATGAAGGAACCCTCTCTCCTTACTCGTCTGCCGTCAGGATGAAACTCACTTGATCGGTTCCCTATCAAAATGTAAAATGCAAACGTACGAAATAAAACTATTACAATATAAACTTATAAACAATCCAAATTCAATAGCAGCCAACTTCTTCTGCAGAGCAATTATTACCTTGCGGAACAATTCCTTCATGCCTCCACCTGCCGAGGAAGGATAGTATATCATGATACTATGGTCATCTCTTACAAACGCACAAACTGCAAATCAGAAGATGAGGATAATAGGATATATAGCCAGCCTCATATAACAACTAAGAACACTAAATATATCAGTTCACCGCTCCTCATATTCATTGTAACTCAATATATTGACTCATAGGACAGGAGACAACAGATTCAAGTGAATTTGGTTACGAAATATCAGAGAAAACCACAGAACACTTGTGTGATTATGTTGCAACTCATACAAACTGGCGACGTAAGAAGCCAAGAAGGCGAAAAAGAATCTGCGAAACTGATATAGTAACTATACCATGGTGTATTCATGTTTTCGTAGGACCTTCTTATTTCTTCTTATATATGTCAACCAATTTCTCCTCTGCATAGAATGAAGCAACAGTTGTAATTATGCTCGTACTTGGCTTGCTTCCTTGTACATTCTCTGCCTACAAAATTTTCAATATCTTCAACAAAATAAAAGAAAACAGAGATAACTTGGTAATGAAACAAACTCTAAAAGTGGAGATAAATCAGGTATTTTATTCTGTTACCTTAGCATTTTCACTGAAGCCGCTTGACCAATCATGCTAGCATGATTTGAAGCAGTACTTGGAAGCAACATCGCTGTACCCTAAACTCCTCCCCGTAAAAAAACGAAAACACTCAAAATTAGATAAGCACAAGCAATACCAAGAGATTTATATGAGATCTGTGTGCTTACCTCCTTGGCAGAATAAAATATCTGATTTATATGATTTGCTACTCATTTTAAATGCAAGTCAACACTAAAATTAAGGAACTAATCAATTATTTGTTATTTATCAATATAAACATTAATAGTGATATAACTTTGCATAATAAAGATAATCATTGCTCTAACCCAAAGTGCAAGAAAAAAATTCTTTCAAAACTCTCATCAGATATGTAACAATGACATTTTTATAGTTAGATTATTAAGAATTAGATCAATATATGTTTAATGGATAAATAATTATTTAAAATTAATTAATATTAATATTTAATAATATGATAGAATGGGTTATTTATATTATAGATATTTTATGATTATAGTTTTTACAGGTCATTTTAACAAATAAGGAAAATATTTTATCAAGTATCAAATGAGTTGAATGAACATAATAAGACATTTCTACTAAAAAAATATTTAAACTAATTTGAACCAAATTACACTATTTAATTTTAGTCATTAAATAAAATAAAATGAATTATGTACATATAAATTTAGCGTGTTATGTGGGTTAAAGTTTAATATAAACAAAATAAAAAAATATATAATTTTATCCAAATATTAATTTCATTGAATAAAAGTTTTGTTGACTAAGTTAATCCCACGGTTTCATCAAAATCTAGTAGTATATCAAAAAGCTTGAATATGTCTAATACCATTTTTTTGACAACTACAAGTATATATATATATATATATATATATATATATATATATATATATATATATATATATATATATATCTATATCTAATACTACTATTTAACTACCGTGTAGAATTGACTTCTTTGCTTGAAAGCTACAATAATAGTTTGGATCCGAAAGTTGACTAATTGAATTAATTGTTTTCTTAATTATTGTAAAATTAAATTGGATTTTTTTTGGTAAAATTAAATTGGATTTGGGTTGAGAAAAAAAAACACTTTTGATAGTTAGTTAGAGTCGATAAAATGTTTTCTTTTTGTTAAAATGAAAAATAACAACGGATCGTAGTTTTACATTAACAGTGAAATATTTTTTATCTTGATGTGAATGATTTTACTCAATGCAACTCAAGTGGAGAAACAAAGAAACTAACTGCAGAAAACAACAGTGACATTTCAAGGGAGAAAACTTAGTTCTCTATGCTTTCTCTTTTTATGCACTAAAACAAGAAACTTTTCTTGGTTCACAAGTCGCTTTCATTGATTGGCAAGAAGTGGTAAAATATTTAATGGAAAAACTAATTTAAAGTTTAAACAAAATCATATATTAAAAAATGTAATAATAAAACTTTAATGTACTATAACTAAAAACCTTAGATTTATGCATATGTAATAGAAGAATTACCATCTATACTAAAAAGACAGAGAAGTTGCAAAAATACATAAACGTTAGGTAAGTAACTTTTGTCATTCAATGACTAAACTAAACTTGCAAGATAAATTATGTTCACATTCTCGAGATATGATCACATTAAGTTCACAAGCATTCTGCTTACCATTGCTAATTCTCACTCTAGAAAGTTTATGCAACTCCTTCAATATAATACATTATGTTTACATATTTATCATCAAATCGTGTGAGGTAATCATTTATGATATTATTTTATGAAAGTAATCCTTACGTACTTAATAAGAGAATACAGTCTGAAAAAGAAGAAAAGAAAATACAATCTATATTTAAAACCCTTCAGTTAGCCTATAACTTGTTATACAAGTAAATTGTCACCAAAGGAGCATAAATTGTTTAGTGGGTTGAGAAGTTTTTTTTTCTTTGTGGGCTGGGAAGTTACCTAACTGAATTCGCTATTTTCGTAATTAATATTAGAAACCGGATTTGGGTTGAGAAAAAGCTCTTTTACACAGTCAGTAAAATGAGGTTTTGTTAAATGCAAATTAACAACAGATCATAGATTTAAGTAGCGATGGAATAGTTTCTTTGACTCAGACGATATGAACACAATTTACTTGATGAAAGATTGTAATGCAACTCAAGTGGAGAAAGAATGAGATTAACTACAAAACAACAAGAATGACATTGCAAGGGGAGAAAACTTAGTCTTCTGTGCCTTGTCTTTTTGTGCACTAAAACAAAAGAACTTTTTGGTTCACAAGTCGGCTGTCACGTCTCTTTCGTTGGTTGAGAAATTGCAGAAAATGTAATGCACAAAACTAATTTGAAGTTTGGCAAATCATATATCGGGCAAACATAAGGAAAATAAAATGTTAATGTAGTATAATTAAAAGCCTTAGACATATGCATATTTAGAATTGTGTTTCTAAATTCAAGTACACCGACGAATTACGAACTATACTAAAAAGAATAGAGAAGTTCCAAAAATACATAAACGTACATCACGTTTTGTTTTCTATGACTAGTTCAAACTTGTCAGATAAATTATGTTCACATCCTCTAGATTACGTGAATTTCACATGCATTCTGCTGATCAGTTTAGCATTTTACCACAGTTGAAATGGATAATCTATTTACAATTATAGCTAGGGAGAGGTCATTCATCTATGGAGAAAGTGTAACTGATGAATAATTCTATCGTCATTAACATTACACAAAACTGATATTGGGAAAAGAACGATTTTCCCTTGAGTTATTCATAAAAGAAAAGAAGAAAACAAATAATAGATTTTGCCACATCAAGAAATCAGTAGTAGTAGTAGTGAAATTTTTTGTAACTAACTATAAGAGTTTTGATCATTGATTTAGAGTTTAAACCATCTCTGGTTCCTGCCACCACCGCCACCTACCCCACCTCCTCCACAACCAAGCCTATATTATAAATCTCTTTTCTATTATACTCTGTATAGTTTGCTTTTCTATAACTCGAAACCAGATCACCTGAGTAAAATCACTATTTAAACCACTCAACAGGCTTTCCACAACATTGGAGTGTAGAAATGTCCATACCAAGTTCCAAAAGAGAAAACGAAAGATGTGTAACAAAAGAGAGCATCCAATATTCATCTTTATTTGTGAATTCTTACAATATTATTCTTATTTATAAATTTTCCACAAACCAATACATAATGAGCATAAGATATGGGACTGGCCTCTAATACAGAAGAACCTTTATTTTATGGAATTTGTTTTAGAAAAACCTTAACTGAGCAGAAGAGTAAATGAAAGTTCTGATGGAAGCAAGCACATCGTCGTCGGTAAAACCCTCCACCACATCAACTCCCTTCTCCTTCATCAACTTCGCCACATCTCTCTGCCTATCTATCAACGCACGTCCTTCTACTTTTCCAGTCACCATCGCCTTCCATCCCAACCGTCCGATTTTCTCCATGTCATCTCCCACCGTCGGATTTGAATACTTGTGATCCCGGTCAGCTCCGTCAGGGAGACAAAGGTTCCACCAAATGTCGGTGAGTATAGGCGGAAGAAACTTATCATTCACATTTCTGATCTCAGACTTGCACCGCTTTTCGCCGCCGAAGAAGGGATCGTGTAAGATCAACCCACGGATACGTAACGGAGCTAGTTCCCTGACGGCTGGTCTAAGCCAGACGTTGTAAGCCAAGTTACCACCTGCGTTTGAGCCCATGAGGAACACGTTAGAAATATCGGCGTAAGATTTGATCCACTCCTCGTCAGCGGAGTATTTGATCCAAATCAGAGCATCCTCTCCGTCGTCGTAAGCCGCCGGGAGTTTAAACTCGGGAGCTAGCCGGTACGAAGCTGACGCGATGACCGCGTTGCTCTGAAGCGCCAGGCGGTTGCAGAAGTCGTGGACTGGTTCGAGGTCGAAGCCTTGGCCGATGAAACCTCCACCGTGGTAGTAGACAACGAGAGGTAGTTTTTTGGGCGAAACGCCGCCGTATGGTGCGGTAGTGGGGACGTAGACACGCATCCATGTTGACTTTGAGTGGTTCACAACAAAGTCTTTGGATATGACTTGCGGGAAGGGATCAGGTGTGGCTGGGGCGCGGACGCCGCGGGGTTTGGTGGGGTCGCGAGTGATGGTGCCATCTTGATTCTTTATGAAGCCCATACGAGCGTAAAGGTCAGAGGCTTGAGATGATCCAGACATATCTGTTGTCTTTTTTTGGGTTCGAAGAAGTCTTGTGTTGTGTATGAAACTGATACTTACCCTTTGTCCCCTTTTATAGTGCAAATTTATGCAATATTATACTAATTATTTATATACTATTAAACACATAAGCATTTTTTCTATCTACTTAGAGCATCTCCAAAACACTCTCTATAACTTCAAATATGAAGTTTTTGACTCTCCAAAAAGAAACTCTAAAACTTCAAATTTGAAGTTTTGAGCGGTGAAACTTCAAATATAGAGTGTCATTACTCAAAACTTCAAATTTGAAGTTTCATACTTTTATTTACATTTTGGTCCTTACAATTACATCTCATATTTATAGCTCTTAAATATTTTGTTGTTTCACATTTTAATCTTTAAATTTTTTATCTCATAAATATTTCAAAATCGTTTTAATAAATTTAAATTTTACACATAATTAATTTTTTTTTAAATATCAAGATAAGATTTCAAATATTTTAAAACTAGAATTAGACAACAACAAAATTACTAGATTTAATGTAGTATTTTTTTCATAATTTAATATTTAAATTATATATTTTGTTTATAATTTTTTATTTTAGTGTAACATTTTATCAATTAATATTATTGTAATATTTTATATATGTACTAGTTATTTATAAAAATTTTATGAATTTTAATTAGTTATAATAAATATAAGGACCATAGTATAAAATACAAATAGTTTTGAAGTTGAGTTTGAAGTTTTGCTTTTGGAGCACAACACCTTTAAACTTCAAATATAGAGTCTTATAAACTAAAAAATAAAGAGTGTTTTTGGAGATGCTCTTACACAATATCAAAGTTTGACCATTAGAGTTAACTAACATTCTTAATATTAAAAAAAAAAATTCTTAATATAAGCATTTATTAATTAATCATACAATTAAGTTATATACCTTAATTCACACCTTCTTTTACATTATTAATACATATACCACATATTCTTCTTCTTATTTTTTCACCTATTACAACATATTGTCTATAATTTATTATGCCATCTTCATTCACCATACGATCTATCAAATAAATATGCTAACTACATGAAATTCATGTAAGGTGTCAGTTTGAGCATATATAGTCTTATTAGTCTTTATTAAACAACAATAATGATAACAATTTGAAACTATGCTAAAACTTTATTTTAAAAAGTTGTATGTTTTCTGTAAGAGGCTTAGGCACAAAATAATGTCCATGGCTACATCTGCACCAAATACAACATTACAATAGCATGCAAAATTTATGAACATATCTATTTTCACTTATGACTGATCTTGAACATGTACATGTGCATTTACTCTCATGTAAAATTATTTTGTAAACAATAAAGGGAAAACTGAAATTGTTATGGAACTTGGAAACCCTTACATAAAGTGCTCTATTAAGCAAATTTTACGTGATTAAACTTGTGCAAATAAACTCTAAAATTAAGAAACTAATCAATTATTTTTGGAACTAACCAATTAAATTTATATTAACACTAAAATTAATGAACTAATCAATTATTTATTATTTATTAATATAAACATTAATAGTGATATAACTTTGCATAATAAAGATAATCATTGCTCTATCCCAAAGTGCAAGAAAAGTTTTTTTTCAGAACTCTCATCAGATATGTAACATTGACATTTTATGGTTAGATTATTAAGAATTAGATAAATATATGTTTATTCGACAAAATAATTATTTAGAATTAAATAATATTAATATTTAATAATATGATAGAAGGGGTTATTAATATTATAGATATTTTATGATTACAGTTTTTACAGGTCATTTTAATAAATATGGAAAATATTTATCAAGTATCAAATGAGTTGAATGAACATAATAAGTCATTTCTATTATATAAAATATCAAAATGAATTTGAACCAAATTAGACTATTTCAATTTTCATCATTAAATAAAATAAAATGAATTATGTACATATAAGTTTAGCGCGTTATGTGGGTTAATGTTTAAGAATAAAAAAATTAATATTTTAATTTTTTTTAAACATATAATTTTATGAAAATTTTAATTTCGTTAAATAAAGAATTTGTTGACTAAGCTAATAACGCGGTTTCATCAAAATCTAGTATTATATCAAAAAGCTTGAATGTGTCTAATACAATTTTTTTTGACAACTACAAGTATCTCTAATACTACCATTTAATTACCGTGTAGAATTGACTTCTTTGCTTGAAAGCTAGAATAATAGTCTAATATTGGATCCGAAAGTTGCCTAATTAAATTAATTTTTTCGTAATTATTGTAAAATTTGGATTTGGGTTGAGAAAAGAACTCTTTTGATAGTTAGTTAGAGTCAATAAAAAGTTTTATTTTTGTTAAAATGAAAAATAAAAAAAAGATTGTAATTTTACGTTAAATGTGAAATAATTTTTATATTGATGTGAATGATTTAACTCAATGCAACTCAAGTGGAGAAACAACGAAACTAACCGCAGAAAACAAAAATGACATTTCAAGGGAGAAAACTTAGTTCTCTGTACTCTCTCATTTTATGCACTAAAACAAGAAATTTTTCTTTGGTTCACAAGTCGCTTTCATTGATTGGCAAGAAGTGGTAGAAAATTTAATGAAAAAACTAATTTAAAGTTTAAGAAAAAACATTTATTAGAAAAATGTAATAGTAAGACGTTAATGTACTATAACTAAAAACCTTAGATTTATGCATATGTAACAGAAGAATTACCATCTATACTAAAAGATAGAGAAGTTGAAAAAACACATAAACGTTAGGTAAGTAACTTTTGTCTTTCAGTGACTAGTCCAAACTTACAAGATAAATTATGTTCACATTCTCGAGATAGGATCAGATTAAGTTCACAAGCATTTTGCTTACCATAGTTGAAATGGATAGCATTTTAACTGTAATTATACCATATGTAAGATCATTCACTAAGAAAAAAGTGTAACTGTTGAATTACTAATTATCATCATTATAATTCAAATTACGTAAAATTTACTGTGGAAAAATAAAAGAGGTTCCCTTGAGTTTCATAAGAAGAAAACAAATTACAGATTTTGTCACAGCCAAAAAAAAACAGTAATGGCAGTGAAACTATAAAGAGTTTTGGTTATTGGTTAGAGTTTTCACCGTCTCTGGTCTCTTGTATCTGCCACCACCACTACCACAACCAAATCTACACCCACCTCCTCCACAACCAAACCAATTTCCGCCTAGGCCACCACCACAACTAAATCTTATTTGTCTAAAAAAAACAAAAATTATATCATATGAAAGATCACTCACTATGAAGAAAGTGTAACTGATGAATTAATATTTTATCATCATTATAATTCAAATTACACAAAATTGATAGTATAAAACCAAAAGACTTTCCTTTGAGTTGTTCATAAGAAGAAAATAAATTACAGATTTTGTCACAGCAAGAAGCAGTAGTGGTAGTGAAACTATAGAGAGTGTTGATCATTGTTCAGAGTTTTCACCGTCTCTGGTATCTGCCACCACCACCACCACAACCATATCTATCCCCACCTCCTTCACGACCAAACCAATCTGTGCCTCGGCCACCAGCGCAACCAAATCTTCTTGGTGCTGGTTCTCGCTCAAGAAATTTTATGCAACTTCTTCAATATAATACATTATGTTTACATATTTATCATCAAATCCTGTGAGGTAATCATTTATGATATTGTTTTATGATTGTAATCATTACACACTCAATAAGAGAATACAATCTGGCTTTCAAAAAAAAAAAAAATACAATCTATATTTAAAACGCTTCAGTTAACCTATAGCTTGTTAAGTAAATTGTCTCCAAAGGAGCATCCATTTGCGCTTGTTCGTCCAAGTGTGAAACATTCGAGAACTCTCATGTTATTATAAATGATAAGTAACACTACAAATATTATTCAACAATTGAATTTTACATGTCTTATGAGGGTTCAAATATATATAACTGCACTACTCTAAACTGTTTTATGAAATTCATCATGTTTAACAATACTTTTTTGTATTATGCTAAATAATTATCATAAATGTTTTCCATTAGTATGTATAATATTATTCTACAGTTGAGAATTGTATGTGTTGTGAGGATTCAAGTAGTATATGTTTGACAATACACTTTGTATTATGCTGAATATAACTATATTAATATTAAATTCATTAATCTGTATACTATGCCTTCTCTAAAACTTGGAACGATCAACTGAGTACATAAACCCTTATTTAGAATGATGGAGCCATCTTCGTTCCTCAAATAATCGTAAGGATCAGAGAGTGGAGGTGGTCCCGACATATTTGAAAGTCTTTTGTTGTTGTATGAAACTGATTCTTTTAGTCTTGTCCCGCTTTTATAGGCAAACATATATTAGTAATTAAATATTTGAAATTATTATTTTATCATAAAAGGCTTGAATATTACGAATTACAGTGTGAAACTTACATCTTTTTGCTTGAAAGTCTACTAATACTTTGTTTAGTAGGTCCCAACGTTACCTAATTGAATTCGTTGTTTCATAATTAATATAAAAATTAGATTTGGGTTGAGAGAAAACTCTCTTTTGAAGGTTAATTACAGACTTACAGTCAATAAACTGTATTTTATTTTATTTTAGAAAGAGCTTTATTTTATAACATAAACTGTTTTTATTTTGTTAAAATGTAAACTAACAACAGAACAGATCCTAGTTTTACATTAATACTGATATATTTGTATATTTGATGTGAATGATTTAACTCAATTACTTGATGAAAAGATTTTAATGCGAAAGAATGAATGAGATTTAACTACAGGAAACAACGATAATGACATTGCAACAGAAGAAAACTTAGTTCTCTGTGCTTTCTCCTTTTGTGAACTAAAACAAGAGATCTTTCCTGGTACACAAGTAGCTATCACGTCTCTTTCGTTGGTTGAGAAGTTGGTTGAGAAGTCGCACAAAATTCAATGTACGAAACTAATTTGAAGTTTGGCAAATCATATATCAAGCAAACATAAAGACAATAAATCAAAATTTGACCATTAGT